CCCATCAAACTTAATCGAATTTTGAATGTTTCAATTCATTTATTCTTCTTTTCACTTCTTCTCTTTTTATTTCCATATATACTTTTTTTTTTGACTTCTCTTCTCTTTTTTTCTCCACAATTTGTACGTTAGAAGTTAACCGAAAAAAGCCTTCTCATGCTGTGATTTCGCTTTTGATCTTTTCTTTATGATGATGATTGTCATTTCAATTTTTTGAAAGCTTTAATATTTTTTTAGATTCTTCTTCTTCACTCGTGTGCTGTTTTGTTTGATGGAATCATTAGTTGGTGAGGCCCGACTCACTCCGCTTAAGTGAAAATGTTTATGTTGCATTTAATAATCGTAATTCACATCAGCAATTTAAAGCCACACATGCAATGATGGAAAAATAACTCTTTTTTTTCATTAGCTTTTGATTTTGATGTTTTCATTTCTGAAATTATGTTCATTTGATATTTGACGTGAATTTTATTTAACACAGCATTTTAAGAAATTGCAAAAATAAATTTTGATTGCGATGGAAAAATTGAAAGGATGGAATTTTTATGTGTGTGGGGAATTTGATGAATAGTGCGATAAATTTGGATTTAATGAGGTCAAGTGCAATTGTTATTGAATCATTTACATACTTAATTGAAGCTATGTTTCTGTGAGGAACTTACAATACAACCTGAAATGGAAACTAGCTGGAAAAACTTAAAAAAAAAACAATTGCCTTGTCGAGTTTAACGAGTGAGGATGCGCTATACTACTGCATTCAAACCTAGACCTACAATTTATAGTGAAATCCGAACCACTCTTTTGATGACATTTCTGCCTGTAGCCTACAAAGGAAGGCTCTAAGCTTCATTTTGAGTCGTATGAATCGAAAAAGGACAAGTGAAAAATTTCTTATGCCGAGTCTCGAACCCAGGATCGCTGTGTCGGTTTGTGCAATGATTAGGTACTGAAGAAATCAACCATTCAGCCACCCAGCCACTTCAGCTAACCATAATAACTTTAACTTGGAGTTGTTTTAAAGAAAAATCTGTTGATTTTATAATTTTACAAATTGAATAATTTGCCAAATAATGAATAATCTGAACAATTTATCTATCTGCTTTTCCAGGATGCTGATATTGCTACAGTTCTTCGTGCGAATCGCTTGAGATGGACAGGTCATGTGTTTAGACGCTCACAGGATTCTCCGGTACTGAAAGTGACATTAGCAGAATTTGTGGATGGGAAGAGAGCAAGAGGAAGACCAAAGAACTCTTGGATTGGTTGGGTTGAAAAGGACGCTAGAGTCTTGAATATCCCGAACTGGCAGAAGGTGTCTAAGGATAGAGCTGTCTTTAGAGGTTTTCTAAACGCAGCAATGAGCCCACGTGCGCCCCAGCCTATGAAGCAAGTAAGCAATTACATATTGGCTCCGATCAATTACCAAAGAACTCACAATAACAAGATAAATAATTAACTAACCTTTTGCCACGATTGTTTACACTTAACAATCTCAATTCTAATTTATTTTCAATACCCAAATCTATTAACACACGATGGCCAATAATTTAAAACAAAAAAATCTTAATCCTATTCAGTCTAATTCACACGATGATTCATTAAATTAAGAACAATATGATTATTTTTATAAGAAACCAAGCAAAAATATCCAAAAACAAAGAATTCTTAATGACTCTCAATTCTTAACAAAAAAAAACATTTTAAAAATCGCATTAATAATTTTTATATTTCTTCAATTTTTATATTTCAATAAAAGTCAAAAAATAAATCTGAAGAAGTAAAAATTAATAATTCATTCTTATTCACAATAAAGAGAAGAGATCTGTAAAGATGTATAGATATAGATATCCAAAAGTATAAATATACAATATTATTTTTTTTCCTCTGTTGTTTGAATCGGTTTCCCATGAAACATGATGAATGTGATTGCCATCATCTGAAACAGTGAAGAGACTAAAGAAAGGAACATTTTGAAGAGAATATGTTATGATGCTAATTTAATATGTTGTTATTGAAATGAGTTGTTTATTAACAGCAAGAATAAAAAAAAATCTTAAGTGATACATCAACGATGATCTTTTTGTACAATTCATTTCTCCATTAAAAAAGATGGGTTTTCTTTACAATTCAAGTCGTGGTTGCTCTTTTGAGCTGATTCGAAGGGTTCGTGTTGTTTATGTTAGCACTTTGGATTGTTTTTAATTGCATTTACATACATTATCCCTAGTGCAATACCTACAACTTCTAGGGTATATATTATGCCAGTGGTGGACAACCTTTTTTGTTTCAAGACACACTTTGGTAGTAAGTCATGTCCAAAACCAAACACAGCGTGCGGTTCCTGTTTTTTTTTTCAAAAAATCTGCAGCACACTAGTGTGTCGCGACACTTTAGTTGCTCATAACTGCTCTAAGCCATACCCTACACCAGTGGTGGTTAACCTTTTTTATGCCACGGTACACCTTGATGATAAGCCATGACTGAAACCGGACTCGACAAACGGTTCGTGTTATTTTCATATTTCTTTCGTGTCAAGTTTGTACGTGCCGCGGCACTTGGATTGGACAACACTGCACATAACCAGTGATGATCAATCCAAAAATCGCAAAAAATTATCGTTAAAGCCCAAGAGGTGAAGAAGCATTAAAATAGGTTGAACATCACTGCCTTAGACCATACACTGCGTATCCAAGAGTAGATCATCCGACTAGAATGATCTTAAGTTTCTACCTACCATTCTGATAACCCTTAGTTATACTGAGCAGCCTACATTATCAACTTATTATAAAAATCTCCAAAAAAATGCGCCATAATCTCAGTCAGTTCCTCTTAATCTTTTTCTCATACATCGCCTTAATGTCTGCGCGGCTACGAACTGAGCGAAAGAGAGAAAGAAAGAGTACAAAAAAAATTGAAATTTTCATTCCATATGAATGGCAGAAATTGATTGATAAGCGATCTGAGTATAAAACATTAAGTACAGCATGTCAAAATCATTTCAAATGACTCATCCTTGCTAACAGATTTCTTTTATTCTATTTCCTTCTGAATAGATTTCCTCCATTCTGCCTTTTAATCGTTTCTTCAATTTAACACCTTTTTGGGGATTTTAAGTGATAGGTTCTTAATTTTTTTATGATATGATACTTTTCTTTAATGGTCAGAGATCTTTCAAATGAGATTAGAGTTTCGTGTTAATTAGCATAAAATATTTGAAAATATTTTCATTTCGTATTAATTAATGATTAATTTCGTTCTGATTCATTTAACTTAAGTCGAATGTCGTTGACAAGGAATTGACAATTATTGAGGTTCTTTTTGAGCATTTGGATTTGATTTTTGATATTTATTAATTTTTTGTTTATTTACAGGGCTGTGAAGAAAGTTGATTGAATTTATAATTTTAAAATTATGATAAATTTTTTTTGTTTGAATTTTGAATGAAGAAAAATTATTGTTTTAAAGTAAAGTTTAAATTTAACATTTATTAAATTTAAATTCAATATTTTTTAAAAAAAATATTAACATTTTTTTATATTTTCATCATATTTTAAAACTTTTTTATACTTTTAAAAGTTTCTTTATATTTTTTAAAATTTCTTTATATTTTTTAAAATTTCTTTATATTTTTAAAAATTTTTTTATATTTTTAAAAAATTCTTTATATTTTTTAAAATTTCTTCATGCATTTTTTAAAATTTCTTCATGTATTTTACATTTAAATTAACCATTTTTAATTTTTTTTATACTTTTTGAAATTTTTTGAAATTTTTTGACATTTTTTAAATTATTAAAATTTTGTTTTAAACTTAAAACTTTTAAAATTTTAAAACCAATAAAAAATCGAAATAAAATATTTTTAACAATTGCATCTGTTTCAGTTTCCTAGCAATCAGCTTAACGTCTTTAACTTCCTTATAAATCGTGACAATGACAATATTACAATTCATGTACACCTCCACCTGAGCTCACTTGCTTTACATCATGTAAAAAGATCATTAATTTGGTAACCCTGAATATTTCGTCTACAAAACAACAATGAAAAAAAAATTATTCTTTTATATTAACACAAAAATATAGAAAGTTTTAAAAACGAACAAAAAAAGATTGAATAACGAGCACATCCCGAATTTAAAATAATTAGTATGCACGCCACATTAATGATTCTGTCATCAATTAAGCTATAAAAATAACTGAGACATAAGACAAAAAAAAACATATTATATATAAAAATTAACACATGGACGAAGTAACTGAAATTTATTTTTATCTTAAAAATTTGTACTTTATGGGATTGCTAGTCATATTGGGATGAAGGCTGGATGATGCATTTCAATTATAAATTTTGAATTGTTTGTAGTTTTGGTGGGATTGATACGGTTTTTTTAAGAATCTTTAACCAAAGGCGTAGCAAGGGCTTATATCGTTAATTGAAATTAGGTTCATTGAAGGATATTTCAGGTCTTTAGACGTCCCTGCAATGTGCAAAGCTAGCAAGTCGTTCATATTCAACTATAAACTGTATGTCTAAAGGATGTGGTACAATAGATTCTGTTCTAATTTGAATCGCAGTGCCTCCAACTCAAGGCTGGGCCCTTCCCATGATTTACCACATCTATTTTAAAGATGCGCTCTGCACCCCCTCAAATATGTTGACATTTAAATCAAACTTGAGTTCTGTAAGAGAGCGAGCAAAGCATATCACACACACACTTAATTTGAGCTGATGATAAGCATGTGCTGTTGTTGTTGTTATTGTTGTTTTACAAATAAAATAATTATGATGAGCTCTTTGTTATTTTTTTATTTTTATATATATTTTTCGTTCATATTTGTTTGTTTATGTATTTATACATAATTTTTACGATTTATACATGAGAACACTTGTTGAATATGAAATTTTGCGTACATTTTCTCAACTTTATCATTTTTTTTTATTTTTATTCTGCGAGCATTAAGAATGAAAGTTTTTGGTGAGCGATTATTGTTCAGTCTAGTGAGAAACGTCAAAGCGTTGAGGTTTTTAGAAAGAAAATATTTAATTTTAATGCAGGATGATTGTGAATTATTTTCTAGTCATATTGTGCATATTTACAGTTGAAACAAATGCCGGAACGATCGATTGTAAGACGATTGATAGTCAAAAGTTCAAAGGCGCGTAGAAAATTACATGATTCAGTTCATCTGAGCTAATTTGTTTGTATCGAGGTTCAGACGCTGTTGAGTGATTTGGGATTTGGATACTTCGATGACCGTACAGATCAATTGTGATCGATGGCCTCGTTTAGTAGGCATTATTAAGGAGTCCAAAGGACCGATAGACATACAGAAGAGCTTATTGAATCTCTACTTCCAAAAAATCAGCAAAAAATAAGTTATGACTCACCGAAAATCCCTCAAATCCCTCAAAATACATCACTAAAGTGTCTGAACCTTGACTTACTTCAATGTAATTTAAATCTTATAATTCATAATTCCTCTTATCACATTACAGAGTTATTTAAATTTGATTACGACGGTGGATCGCTCGGATTGAAACTTAATATTGGATTAATAGGAAACTCAAACAAATTTAAAGTTCAGAACTGCAATTTTGAGTTGTCAAATACTAAAACGGCTGTTTATGGAAAAAGTAATTTTAGAAATCAACTGAAAGACAAGTTGAGTGGACTGACGTCATGTACGAAGTTTAAAGTCAAGTTTATGGTCAAGAATTTAGCGACAAGTAAGAGTTGGGAATATGAGAATTTTGTGTCTACAAAACCGGACGCAAAAACAAAGATTGAGCTTACAGTTGGGGAGATATTTGAGGACTATGCTGAATTTTCATGGACATCAACAACTGCTGACTGTTTAGAAACTTACCATGCAATCCTTAAAGACAGCACCGATAGAGAAATCCAGAACATCACAATATCACCAACTGTAAAGACCTTCACATTTCATAATTTAGAGCCCAGAAAGTCATACACAGCTGTGATCGATGCACAGCATGAGAAAGGCTCAAAAATATCATCAAACGAGCAAAAAATTAAAATGAAGTCATCTGAAAACTACATTGACAATCTCGAAGTCATATTAAATGTTCAAAATGTCACAACAAATACTGCACAACTCATGTGGGACTTGACGGATAAGATTGACTCAACCGTCACATACAATTTAGAGATTTTCGATCAAACTGGAACCAACAAAATTTTTAATGGGGTTCTTGCAAATAATTCAGTGATTTTAAAGAATTTACAGGCATGCATGGAATATAATGCAAAAATTACGATTATAGAGTTCTCAAAATCATCAGAACGGACATTTGAGACGCGCATGGCACAGCCTGGAAATGTCACAAAAATTTCTTATCAAGCAAATCAAACGCACTCGATAATTTCATGGATACCGCCAAATATAAATCCAACTTGTGTCAAAAACTATACAATTAAGTTTGGATATTTGAAAGACGAGAACGCGACAGTCCAACACACGGTGCCTAAAGATCATCTATCCAAAGTATTTGACAGACTTAAGTATTCAACGAAAATCTACATACACGTATATGCTAATTTAGACACGTCTGTAAACGCCACGAGGGCTTCGAATATTAAGGTATTTGAAAATTTTAATATTGACAACTTTGTGGTGAAAACGATTCAAGAATTTCGATTGAGTGCTGCGGAAATGCAATTGTCATGGGGTTTCGATACATCATTCATTGACGGCGATGTTTTGGACTATTTTGAAGTATTCTTTGATGGCAATGCAATAAAAACAAAAAAACGATTGCTCAATTTAAATATCATTGCATGTAAGACAAATTATTCAATTGCGATCAGATGTGCATCGAAAGCCGGAAGTGTTGGCCCAAATGTCACTTATCATACGAACTTAAATGACAAAGAAGTGCAATTATCTATCATAAATGCAACAGACATTAATGTTCATCAAAATAATGAGTCATTGTTGATTGAGTGGACGCCTAATGTGTACGAGGCGTCATGTATTGACTATTTTGAAATTAAATTTGCTGATGAAGTCTTCAAAACGAATGTGCCAAAAATGGAGATCAATAAATTCGATTCGTGTATGCTATATCAGGTATTAATAACACCTATATCAATTGAAAGTGGAACGAAAGGTGAAACGACGCACTATGAATTCGAGACTAGTGTTCTAGGTATGTGTAGAATTCTTATTTTTGGTGGAACTTGATTTGAGGATATGGAATTGTTATGCTTGAGAATTTTAATTGTCTAGTTTTTAGATTTTTATGGAATGGATTGAGAATTGTGGGAACTAGGAGTAGAACCGTTGGAAACTAGCTTGTGAAGATTAGGAATTGGGAGTGGGGACGAGAAGCCAGCCTAGTAACCAAAATGGTCCATATGCACTGCATTGACCTTCCTTGGGAACATCAATATAATACATACCCGAATGGCACAAGTTGGTTAATCCATCAGAAATCCGGCACCAAACTAGTGTGACTCTGGAATGGTAGTGGATTTAAATTGATTCCAGCACCATGCCAGAATCATGTCTGCTTGGTGCTGGATTTCTCTTCGATTAACCGACTTGTGCTATTCGGGATATGGACGGTTATGGTTACTAGGGCAGACAGTCCTTATAGAGAAGACCAATCGAAGCTAGTCCAGTTTTTAAAGACATCATTTAATGTCTGCAAACTTATTGAATGACATAAATTAAATTTATAGCATAATGACATTCACTTAACCGTAATTAAGTTTTTATTAAATATTTTGTGATGCATTGTTATCCCCAAAAAGGCTGTGTGCTTTAAGTATAACCGTAACATTAAAATATATTGAAATCATGTCACGCTTGCTAGGTCGTTGAGTTTTGTAAGAGTCCTTATCGCATTGCTTAAGACTACTACTAGGCAGGGGCGTAGCCAGGAATTTGAAGAGGGGGGAACAAATTTTTTTTTGTTAGAAAAACTTTAAGGGGGGGTTCGAGAAGCAAAATGAAGAAATTTCTCAAGCCCCCAAATCCCCCCCCACCCCCCCCCCTCCCCTGGCTACGCGTCTGCTACTAGGGTTAAGTTAAAATTGGTCATTCTCTAGAATCCTTTTCCATGCTGTCTTAACAACACAATCCGATGTATAAACAACATCCAAATATTTAATTTATTTCCCAATTATCACACCTTCCAGCCCCAACCAAACCATCAAAACCCCAGCTCATCAATGCCGGAAATCGTGAGCTGACCATCTCATCCTCAATATCAGACAACGATAAGCGATGCGTCACAATGACATCGACATTTATTGAGTTTACATGCAACAATATAATCGTCGAAGAAAAAATCACAAGAAGTCAATCGCAATATTCTATGAAAATTCCTCATCTCCATCCAAACACAAAGTACGAGTGCATTGCAAAAGTGAAAAACTTGAATGGAACTTCCGAGAAAAGTGAAGCAACTGTTTTTGAAACACTGCAAGATTGTGAGGCACTTTGTTTACATTTTAATAAGTTTATCATTTATAATGATTTATTATTCTAGCGCCACAACCACCAGTAGAAATTAGAGCATTAGTCGGCAGCGATAATAAAGTTGAAGTGATGTGGATGGAAAATAATTCAACTGGATTTGCGGACTATTATCAAGTTCATGTGACATTTGAGAAGTTTTTGTATGATTTTGGGAAAAATTGTGATAAGAAAATCAGAAATGTGACAAAATTAGAAGCTTCTGAGACTAAAGCAGAGTTGACTGAACTTTTTCCATTTTCTCAATACAAAGTCAAAATTAAAGCATCAAATCGATACGGCAAGAGTAATTACAGTGAGAGTATAGAGTTCAGTACCAATCCATCAAGTCCAACAAAGCCTAGAAATGTCACAGCTGACATTAAGTTTCATGAAAATTCTTCAATTTCTGCAATTCTCTCATGGGAATCGCCATGCATGATGAATGGAAAATTCTCACTCTACACAATTACTGTTAATGGACACCGAAAAGGAGTTGCTAGTGACAAAAGAACAGAAGCTAGTTCAACAACTACATTTGAGTTATTTAATCTATCACAAGGATTCGAGTATGACATTGAAATTCAAGCTGTAAATCAAAATTCTGGAAGTTCTACGATTTATGGGAAAGTTGCGAAGCATTCATTTGTGACACCATCTGGAAGTGAGTATGATTCTTTTTTATCATGCTTTATAGTTAATGTGTAAGGTGCATAGGTTCGAATTCCACTCATTTTAGGAAGTAGAACTAGCTACAACAGCCTTTGTCAACGACCATATCACGTTGAAAACACCGGTTCTCGTCCGATCACCGAAGTTAAGCAACGTCGAGCGTAGTTAGTACTTAGATGGGTGACCGCTTGGGAACGTTACGTGCTGTTGACTTTTTGTTCCTTTTTGCTTCTGTTCCTGTGAAATTTGTTGATTTTACAGCCTAATGCAGTGACTTTTCTTTTGAAAATTCTATAATTTTGTATGAAGCAAAGCTGAAAAAGTGATTAAGAACTGGAAGTAGCCACAACAGACTTTGTCAACGACCATATCACGTTGAAAACACCGGTTCTCGTCCGATCACCGAAGTTAAGCAACGTCGAGCGTAGTTAGTACTTAGATGGGTGACCGCTTGGGAACGCTACGTGCTGTTGACTTTTTGTTCCTTTTTGCTTCTGTTCCTATGAAATTTGTTGATTTTACAGCCTAATGCAGTGACTTTTCTTTTGAAAATTCTATAATTTTGTATGAAGCAAGGCTGATAAACTGTTTAAGAAGTGGAACTAGCCACAACAGCCTTTGTCAACGACCATATCACGTTGAAAACACCGGTTCTCGTCCGATCACCGAAGTTAAGCAACGTCGAGCGTAGTTAGTACTTAGATGGGTGACCGCTTGGGAACGCTACGTGCTGTTGACTTTTTTGTTCCTTTTTGCTTCTGTTCCTATGAAATTTGTTGATTTTGCAGCCTAATGCAGTGACTTTTCTTTTGAAAATTCCATTATTTTGCATGAAGCAAGGCTGATAAACTGTTTAAGAAGTGGAACCAGCCACAACAAACTTTGTCAACGACCATATCACGTTGAAAACACCGGTTCTCGTCCGATCACCGAAGTTAAGCAACGTCGAGCGTAGTTAGTACTTAGATGGGTGACCGCTTGGGAACGCTACGTGCTGTTGACTTTTTTGTTCCTTTTTTGCTTCTGTTCCTGAATAGCTGATTCTTAAATTATTTCACTTTTTTACTTTTCAGTTCCGCTAGAAGACGACCTTAAAAATTGGACCGAATTTGGGAGTCAACCTGACAAATACCCACCAAGCAACATCTACATCTTTCTCAAACGCCGAATGTTCGTCTCAAAAGTTGGAAACATTACAGGAATCTCGTTCTTAATATTCTTAAATGTAAAATAATAATATTTGTGATAAAAAACTTTAAAATAATAATTTTTATTATCTTTTATGAAATTTTTTAGGACTGCCTTGACCTCCCCCAACCGACTTTTGGTTATCTTTTGTCTGAAAATATTTTACTGCCTCCAGCAGAGCAAAATTTAAATTGTTCGCTATTATATCAGCAGACTAAGATGCTTCCAAATCCTGTTGTGTACGAAGATTGGATTAAAAAGCCAGAGGAACTGGAATTGTTTAAAGTTCAATTTGTTCTCGGTGATGAAGACTGCATAGAATCTGATGAAATTTGCAATATACCACTTAACTGCTTCAACTGTACTTATGGATTAATGGCAAGAGTCTATACTAATACTGGATATAGAGATACTCAGCCTGTTTACTTCGAGACTAGACCAAGCACATCTTATGTAAATTTACAAACATTTCTTGTCGTTGGCGGATCATTTTTCGGAGTTCTGATACTGTCTCTCACTGTCTGCATGATCTGCTGCATGAATATGAGGAAAAATAAGCAAAAGCTGAAGAAAAAGAAAAAACAGGCAGCAGAAGCTGATGACAATTTGTTATCATTTACATCGTATTGTGTGATTGATAAGAATCCTACACCGAAGGTGTATGATCATTTGCTGTAGAGTTTAAAGGAAGAGGATATTCAGCATGATTGCTGCGAATTAGTCAACGATACTCATAATTTAATTTTATTTGTGGATTCAAATATGTTTAAATTTTTTGTAGAAATTTGTTTATTTTTAAAGAGAGTTTTTGGAAGGTTTAAGGCAGAGTTGCGAAACTGGCACCTGTGACAGGTGAGAACCTTACAATTCCTTGATAATTTATAAGGTGTTTCTAAAAAAACCATACAAATTATCAAGGAACTGAACGGTTCTCACCTGTCAAAGGTGGCCTGTTTCGCAACTCTGGTTTAAGGTATGTGACTAAGTGACCATACTAAAAGTATGGTGGATGAAGTGGTGGATCAAGTTAAATATTGATTAATAGAATCACTTGCTTATGAACTGTAGCTAAGATAGGAAAGTATATTGAAGTCAATAACACTGTCAATACTAATGATAAGTTTGAGTTACCTAGTGACATCCCTGTCAGGGGTGTCGGACTGGCTACTTCCTTACCACAGCTTAACTTTGACTAAATTGCTGTCGCTTAAGTAAAGTTACTAGCCGAACCTCCTTTTCATTTTAATTGACATCCTAAATTGATTGCTATTTGTCTTTCTACTCCAGTGTTGTCCAACCTGTGTGACGCGGCACTATAGTGTGGCAGGGTATCCCACGAACCGTATGCTATGTACGGTTTCGATCATTGCTTACCACCAAGGTGTGCCATTGCATAAAAAAGGTTGCACACCACTGCTCTACTTAATAGTTTTAATTCAGACTTAAATGATTATTTTTTTGTAACTTTACTAAGCATTTGAAAAATTCCTCGAATCCTTATAATTTATTTTAAATAAAATTCATATCATTAAGTGCATTTGTTAATCCAAAAAGGCATGGACCATACCAAAAACCATTTATTGTATATGTTAGATAGACATAGATCGAAAAAAGAATCAAAAGCATTTAAATATGGCATAGTGACTGTAAGTGTATTAAGTACTTATTATAAAGAATAAAGAACTTCATTTTATAAATAGCAAAAAAAAAAGTTTCGGACGGATTTATTTGATGTATTTGACACTTTCGTACATAAAAACGGAAGCTGCAAAAAAGGGGTTTAATTGAAGCAATAATAAAATGCCGACTTTTATTTATTCCTAATCCTTTTGATTTCACCTCCACGTACATCAAAATATTGTCTGAAAATATTTTATTTTTTAAATGCATTGTATAAAGGTGGAAATAAATAAATTCATAAAAGTATGCCGCTCAAGAAAAGGCGGAGACGGATAATTATTTATTTGATATGAATGGATGTGAGTTTTTATTAATTCAATCAAAAGAAATCCTTTCGTTTAAAATAGTGTCAAATTTCATATGTTTTGTTCAAAATTTGAAGCTAGTTGTTTTAACGGTTAAAATAAATTTGAATTCTTTTTCTGCTTTATCGACGATTTTTATGGGAATGATCATGGTAAGGCAGAGTTTGAGTATCGAGTGTCATTTATTCAAATTAATTGAAATTGATCATCAGATTGTCTTATTAAAGATGCAACTACTGATCTCAGCAATTAAATTTCAATATATCAGCAATTAACAAGCAATAAATGCTGATCTTAAAAATTAAAAAATTCAACTCATGATCACTTAACAAAGCATAACATCAAGTGACAAAATAAAAAAGTAAAAACTCAACTTCCGGTCTACAAAACTGATCAAAACCAAATAAAAATTCCAAAAAGTATCAAAAAATGCAAAAAAGAGAGAACGTTTCTACTTGCATTGACCGGGAATCGAACCCGGATCTATTGCTTGGAAGGCAACAATGCTGACCTTTACACCATCAATGCTTAACAATTGATATTTTTTGTTTGACAGAAAATGTGTTAATTCCAAGGTCTGGAATGATCATTTGTATTAATTTTGTGTTTTTACGATCGCTTCAGCTGGAAATGACAATTTTGTGGCTGAGTACATTGCAGGATACATCAGATCATTAGATAAATCGTGTTTTTGCAATACGTAGAGCTTGCAAGTGATTCTGATTACATTTTACAGGAGGTGTAAAGTTGTTGTATAATAGATTCAGATCTAATTGAATGGCAGTGCCTCCAGCTCAAAAGCTGGGACCTTCTCATGATTTATTTTTTTTCCTGATGCATCTTGCAATGCGCCTAGTCAGCAAACTGCCACTTCTAGCTGAAACGATCGCCTTATCAATGTGGGTGCACTTTGCTCAAAGGAAGACAGAATTTACAAGTTTTCTGTTAAGGAAGAAGAAGTTACGTTCTGTAAAATTTATATTTAAACATTAACTTAGTTTTAGGGTAGCTGAAACTATGATCTAGCCCATTTTTGAGCTCTTTTATTTATAAAATCCAACAAAAAAATTTGTTTTTATTCAAATGTCTTAAAACTTCAGAACCCCAATACAGACGTGTCGTTTACTTATTAAGTTCGCTTTTAAGGAGGAAGGGGTGTTTTAGGATTTTGTAACAGCTCAAACAAAGGAAAAAAAAACATACAAAATTTTTGATAATTTAATAAGGACAATTTAATAAGAAAAACCAGCCTTAAGTGAATTCCTTCTTTTTCAGGCTTTTCTTTAAAGACACAAAATTCTTTAAATCCATTGATACTGAGTGACATTCAATGAGAAATGATTTTTCCGTAAACACAAAAGCTCAAACTCCAGTATTATCAAGGAAATGCAATGTCATTCAGTTTATCTCTCCTTTGTTGCTTCAATATTTATGAATGATTCTGCAATGTTCTCATGATTAATCTGTTAAAAAATGATTTATGGCTGAAAAAGTTCACAACAGACTTTCATGACTAAACTTGTACTTAAATAGTTCCTTGTTTTGTGTATAAAATATTGTCGTGATTAATTTTAGTATGATTTAAAATAATAAAATTTTTTTAAATTAATAGACTTCAATTGTGAAATTTGTTGTTGCTGTTTTCAATTTAAACTGCAGATAAAAGTATCAGAAGTAAGGCACCAAGCCGGTGTGACTTTGTCATGGTGCTGAATTTAAATCGAAGCCAGGCTAGCCCAGGAATTCTATTCGATTAACCAACTTGTGCTATTCGGGGATGCCTTCAATTTTAAAAATCTAGGGACCTGAAATTTAAAATTAATTTATTCAAAAAAAAAGGAAATTAAATAAAAAAGACTGTCGACTTTTATTTTTCGTTAACGCATTTTCTGCCGTTTATTTCAGTATTTAATCCATTCACAAAATTCTAAGAAATAACCTTTCGAATTGTTTTTTGGAATTTCTGCATAAAATCACATGCAGGATAATTTTACAATTTTTTATTTCCAATTTGCAATTTGCACGTGAATGTAATCTTTTCAAATTTTTGTAAAAATATTACCTTTTTAAAACTTATTCATTTTTTATAGATAATTTTTATCAATTTTTTTACATAATTTTCAGTTTTTTTTTTTGAAAAAGAAAATATTTCAAAATTAAATTGTTAGCTTTCATTTCAATGTTGAAAGCTTTTTGTCTGTCATTCAAATACAGTCGATGACATCATATATTAATGACCCATTATTTCAAATAATCATGAAAATGTCGTTTAAAAAATTCAGCACAGATTGCTAGACAACAAAAAAGTATCGATTACATTTTCGGTATTTTTTTTTTCACAAAAAGCTTTCAACTTCCTTCTTACTTTTCTTGACAAAATGATTCAATTTTGCCACAAAAATTTCAATCACAAAAAAATTAAAATTTCTAATTTCAACAAAAAATTTCTTCTCTGTTTTAGTTTTAAATTTTGTCTCATTATAAAAATAACTTACAGATACTACAAAAATGTTTAAAGGATGATTTGCACGAAGAAATGGAGCAAATTTATTTTATTTTTTTCGTTTTTCATCAAAAAGCTTTTCAAATTTTTTTCTTCAATTTTTTTTTGTAAATTCGTTCAAAATAGTTTTCAATTTTTTTTCACTTTTCTTGTTTTTTCAAGAAGAACAAAAACATTTTTTTTTAAGTTTTCATTTAAAATCTCTTTTTTTAATTTGCCAATAAATAGAGAAAAAAAAACAATAATCTTTTAAAAGAGTTCTAACTCATCCATTTGCATCATACTTTCGTGTCCCAAAAACTTTATAACCATCACAAATTCGCTTTTTATATCTCAATAATCAGTTTTGTTGCACATAATATAATAAGGTATGTAAGTTTAAGAATAATAATAATAATAAAAATTGCAAATAAAATAGCAATTGGATCGTCTTTATAAAAGTCGAATTATCGATGGAAAGGTTGAAGTCTTTTTGGTGGGTTTTGGGGGAAATGATTTAAATATCAGCAATCGTCCAGAGTAAAGCTCTTCTTATGAAGCTATAGTGACAACTGTTGTGCAGCATTAATTAAAGAACAGTGAAATAAACACAAAAATTGCCAACCACATCCACCAAATGTATTGAATTCGCAACTGGCTGACTATATTCCAGTTTAGAGAAACTTGATAGTTTTAATCGGTCATGAATTCATTGAATCTACAAAGATTTGGGACTGATTTTAGACCATGTGCTCGATTTTCCCGTAATCCAGAGCTCAAAGTCGACTTGAAAATTTCATCGACTTCCTCATACCAGTGGTAGACAACCATCGTTGAGTTACGGTACAACTTGATGAAAAGTCATGACTAAAGCCACACACGGCACATAGTTCGCGGGATTTTATGAATGTTTTTGCAGCAAAAAATATATTAAAATCAATCTTTAATAAAATTCCACAAATCCACCAAAAACCTTCATCTTAATTTCCATCGTCGAATAATTAAAATTTATAGAATAAAACAGGAAATAAAAAAAAATTCATTATCAGTAATTTTTTTTTCATTTTCATTCTTATTGAAAGATCCAAATTATTATCGTCAAATGCTCATCACATCCTATCGCATGTGCTCTTAAGTTTTTTTTTTATTTCCATTCATCATCACTGAATTGTTGTTGTTGTTTTTTAATTGAAAAATTCTAAAATAATTCATATTTTTTTGTTTTTATATGATTTACTGTCTTATGCACTAATATTAAATTGTAATTTGTGTGTGTGTTGCAGCTTAAAAATTACAAATGTCTCTTAAGAATTAAAAAAAAATTTCTCCTTCATTTTTCACTTTTTTTTATATTTTTTTTTTCTTCATTAATTTCATCATCCATTGACTTCAGATGCCACCTTTTTATTTTAAATTAATAGAAAATTGGATGAAAAAGTAGCACTTAATATTTTTTTATCGTGCATTTGCACTTTCTATGATTTTTTCTTTTTTTATTCTTCGATATCAAAATAACTGATTTTTTTTTATATTTCTATTGATTAAGTTTCATTTTTTTCTGTTAATTATAATTTTTTAATTTTTTTTTATTATTGAGATACAGTGACAAATAGAAAAGGTATTATTTTTTTCTATTCCCTTCTTTTATTAAGTTTTGAAAAATATTATTTTGATTGACGATTTAAATGAGAGAGAAAATCAATGGAAGAGGAAAAGATATTTATTGTGTTATGTTTAGAACGAGGAATTCTGGACTGCTTGGAAATTGTTTTCAAATTTTTGGATGTATAATTGATTAAGGTTGCTAGTCTTTATAGTAGTTTACCATATTATAGACTTTACAAATGATTATCGTTTGGCATGGCTTAGGCTTAAAATGGTGAAATCCAAAATGGCTGATTTTTTACTGTCATCCTTGACGAGGAACTATACTAGTATTTTAATAGGTTTTGATGATCTAGTAACTGGTATGTTGATACCAAAAATTATAAGATTTGTTCAGCTTTGAATCTTCATAATTAAATTTTTTCGAATTTTTTACTTGTCATGATTGACGGGGAATGCAACTGTTTACTAGTTTATCGAGTATTTGGTAGTTTGATTATTACAATTGATATAAATAACTGTCAAATTGTCAGAACTTTTGAACAAAGCTTCCTATACAGTTCGTAAATAGAAATAGCCATGCCTAGTTGTACCCTAACCTCTAATATGATCTAGAACAGTGTTTTTCAAACTATGATCCACCAAAAAATTCTAGATGCGGATATAGTGGTTGCCAGCGTAGCGTGGAAACATTAACAGATGATCTACTGCTTCTTTTCTGCCCCACGTCATAAAAAGTTTGAAAAACACTGATCTAGAATGCCCCAAAAGTTTTAAATTTGATCCAATAATGTTTTTAGAATTACAATCTTCTAAAATGCAAGTCAGACTTGTTGGGAATCGTACTTGCATCCACAAAGAAAATCATTTGCAGTCCCATTCTGTTCCTGGTTTAACTCTCTGCTATTAAAGCATCATAAAAGTTCATTTAATTTCGACAGCAATCTTAAATTCACTTAAATACCAACATTTTTGGTTCATAATCCCAAATTAATTGCAATTAACTTTCCGCAAACAATTTTCACATCACTAATTTGATAACATTTTCCAAGCACACACCACAATAATAATGGTTAATAATTAAGAAAAAAAAAGGAATAACAAATAAAATTTAAAGATGTAAAATAATTAACAAAGAGGAAAATTTTCTTTTTGCCTCTCATTTAATGAAAAATAAAACAAATTTTCCATATTAAAAAGAAATTTTTTTTTCTTATTTCCAATTATTTTTCTTTTTTCACAAACACAAAAAAAAGGGTTTTTCTTCTGAGACGAATTTTTTTATCCACTTCCACACAAAAATGCCAATTTTTATCACCAGCAAAATACTGATAAGTCGCCATCATTGTTCCAATTGCGAGCTTTCAACTAAAAAAAGAATTGATTAAAAATAAGATGTTGGATAAAAATTATAAAATGTGTTAGAGGGGTTCGTTCATAAATAACGTTCACTATATAATTATCTTTTTGGAGCTCTCCTGGAGCGACATGGCAGTAATCTGTAAGTGTAGATATCATTTTTGCTTTAAATGTCAGTAATCTGGTCTAGTTGTGGCCAATCCAGTGGTGGTCAACCTTTTTTTGAGGCACGACACATCTTGAGCGAAAACCGCAATTTCGAAAACGACACACTAGAGCCGCGGCACATGGGTTGACCATCACTGATCAATTCGAAAAGGGGGTCTAAATGGCTTCAAGATTGAGAATGTTTACAGGAATATTATTTAAACACCCCTTTAAAATTGAAAATTAAAGAACCGCTAGTTCAAACTTCCATGGCTTACAACTTAACAACCCCCACCCCAGATGTGAGCCGTCATCAATGAACAAACCCTCAAAAGGATATTTTATTCAATTTTTTAATTATATTATGGACATAAAAAACAAGACAGGAATATGAGATTAAGAGATGGTGTTAGAATATGAAAATGAGGACAAAAAAAGTAGTTATTGCAGTCTTTATTCCATGTTGTTGCCATGTAAATTATATTATCGATAATATTATTATGTCATGAGAAAGATAAAAAAAAAGTTTTTATATTTTTTTCATTGTTTTTCAATGATTCTTTTTGGGTTACACGCCGGGACTTGATATCATACGATTACTCACTTGCATCTTATCAAAATCTAAGCAAGGACGACGTTGTAGCCTTTGCAATTGATGATTACGTGGAGTACGATTACGACGTGGTGAGATGGCAAAAACTTTTGTTGGTGGACTTATTGAACGTAAATCTAATGATGATGATGATGGTGTGGACGATGAGCCACTTGTTAAAGGACTATCACACGATATTCGAATGTTTTCTATTCCTCGTCCAGCTTCAACCAAAATTAGTGGAGTTGTCGAGCGACTAAAATGGTTGAATGTTCTAAAAATGAATTTTTTTAAGATGTAAATTAGTATTGATTTTTAATGTGGATGTTCGAGGTGAAAAGTATCTAAATTATTGGATGCAAAAAAGGTTTTACCTCCCAAAATAAATCATAGTTTCACACCCCTGACACCAATAATTTTTCATAGTTTCAACCCCCTCCGAACATCCAATACCACTCAACTCTCCTGAATGGCACAAGTCGGTTAATCGAATATGAATCTAGCTATGATTCTGGCACGGTGCTAGCTTCGATTTAAATCCAGTACCACGCCAGAGTCACAACGACTTGATGCTGGATTTCTGATCGTTTAACCGACTTGTGCCATTACAAGTGACCAGGCGCGTAGCCAAGAGTTTCTTTTTCCTCCTTAAACGTTTTGAACTGCAGCGAAAGCACGGTCTAAAACGTTTAAGAGGGGGACAAGACCCTCCTGGCTACGCGCCTGCAAGTGACAAAATCACAAGATACTTACTTAAAATTAGGGGTTGTGGAACGTTGCTGTTGTTCTTGTACTGATGGTGACTGTTGTGGACTATATCTATTCAAGTGCTGATTATTAAACAATAAATGGCCTCTATGTGGCTTCAAAGCTTCCAATGGAGGCGTTGTTCGAAAATTGACTGGCGCTAACATGTTATGATGATATGCTTGCGACTCTAAAAATTGTCTCACCTTAAAAAAGAAACATTTATGTTAAGAATAAGCAACATTGGATGATGATTTAATTATAGAGTTGAGAAAATTATTTAATTAAGTGTTGATCAGAGTTGTTGGCTAGCTGATAAGGGACCGTTCACTTATGACGTCCAACATTTAGGGGGGAAGGGAGGGTCTCGGATTTTGTGACAGTTCAAATAAAGTAAATTTTTATCCACAGAAATTTTGTGACTGAGGGGGGGGGGAGGTGGATGGTCTAGAAATCATGTTTTTGATGTACGTCATAAGTAGATTCAGTATTAACTAGATTGAATTGGAGTTATTTTGTGAGGGAATCAGTTTCGTTTATGTGAATTTTGTTAATCTTGTTTGTGCATGCTTCAATATGAATTCGAAGCTTAAGATGGAATATGAATAATAAAATTCATTGAAAGCTTGACTGTCCTGCGGTTCAAAACTTTTAAGGGGGGACTCTTGGCTATGCTCCTGATTGAAAGCACAATTTTTGATACTTAATAAGATTCGAACTCATTTATTAAGGGAAGTGACTTAATATTTGCATGTCACAGTGCTTTTTTAAGGAGATAATCCTGAACATGAGGCTAATTAATGTATGCAATTTATCAATAGCAAAATGTCTAGGTTGTCTGATGACAAAGACCTCTGACACAACATCCTTTAAATTAACTTACTAAGGAACTAGGAACAAGTCATATTGCCAATAGTTCATAAAATCTCAAAAATCTAGTCTAGCACATTTATTAAAAATTTGACTTAGAGTTTAGATTGTGCAGGTCAGTTCTAAACATTTTATTATTCCAACGAATTTAGCGATAGGAAAAAAAATTTTTGCTCAACAAGTTTAATCTTGTTTTGCTCAATGGAAAGTTATTTTCAAAACATTATGAAATATTAACAAAGATTGCAAAATTAAGTTTTTTTAGATTTTTCAATTAGGATCGCAATCGAGGTCACATCCTAATTAGGGAACCACAAGTCGGTTAATCGAATAGAAATATTAGGTGCAATTCTGGTATGGTGTTGGACTCAAATCGAATCGGTTCTGGATTTCTATTTGATTGACTGACTTTTGATGTTGGGATAACTTTCAAAGGTACTTTAAAATTCAAAATAAATGTCGTGCATCTATAAAATCCTTATCAATTGCCAGTGTCAGAATATTTAATGACAGAACAGCCTGACTAAGTCAGTTGTCAATCAAAGTATGATCTAATAACTAATGAATCAAACTATCTTGTCATATTGTACAATCTAATCACAATAAAGAAATCATCATGCCCTTGAATAGTCCCAGACGAAACGCAGACAACAACTTCAATTATCACAGTACAAAAATAATTTTTTCCACTTACCTCATCATCCGAATTGTGAGCTAATGATCGTTTTCGTTTTTCTAAAAATGTTGAACTGCTACAGCGCTTCGGCGAAAATTCATCATCATTATTTTGAATTTTAAGTTTCTGCTTCTGGTCCACATTCTCGTTTGACATTTCAATTGAATTCTCCAATGGTTTTGTCATTATCACTTCTAATTCTTCCTCCGAACTATGTTGATCATATAATAAATTTGATTGTGGACTCAAAAATGCCGGCGATTCTGAGCACTCTTCAGGCGACGTTGTATCATGACGTGAGCTCATGCCTACGAGAAAATTGAAATGAAATGAATAAAAAAAAAATTTGTAGAAAAAAAAATCAGCTGTTTGTTGATTTTTAATTTATTTTATTTTACTTCTTCTTGTTATTTGTAACGCGATAGTAGAAATGGAAAATGAAACTCTTATTATATTTTTGGTAAACAACGAGAGTCTTTCTTTATGACTCGGTCGGTTGTATGCATGCAATCAAATGTACACACAAATGATAAGAGAGTAAAAAAAGTGTTGGGATGGAAGTTGTCAGATAATGTCGAATATTCAAACCTTATAAGTGTTTTACTCGACTATTACAAGTTGGTTGATCGAATAGAAAGTCTGCACTAAGCTGGCGTAACTCTAGCATGGTGCTGGACTCAAATTGAATCCAAACCATGCCAGAGTTATGCAAGCTTGTTGCCAGATTTCTATTTGATTAAATGATTTGTGAAATTCGGGATATTTACTCAAGATTTGTTAAATATAACTCGAAACAATCTCACTGGGTGAATTACAGTTTATGAATGACTCAAATATGTTGCATCGAATCTAATATTTGTTTTGAACCAGGCTCGGAAACTCAGGATTATTAATCCCAAAAATCCAAATAAATCACTGAGCCAATGAACATCAAAATGTGAAATCCCTTTTAAATCGCTGATGCATTTGATGAATAATTTCGAGATTAAAAAGAAATTTCACATTTTGATGTTTATTGGCTCAGCAGGTGCGTAGCCAGGAGGGTATTGTCTCCCTCTTAAGCGTTTTAGGCCGTGCTCTTGCTGTGGTTCAAAACGTTTAAGGAAGGGGGGGGGGGGGCAAGATCCTCCTGGCTACACGCATGTGGCTCAGGGATTATTTCGAATCTGTAGGATTCTTCAGACTGAATCCTGAGTTTCCACGTTTGAACTAATCCAAGACTGTCAATTGATTCAATTTAAGACTAATTTGATTTTAAAACTGACAAACTTCCTCAAATCTGTTACAAACTCGATAAAATGTTGTCCAAACTACGGCTAAGTGGATAGTATAATTTTAACTATGTGCCAGTTGCTTGACATTCATTTCTAATCAGCAATCTACTTAGAAATGGATGTTCTGTTTAGTTCTAAGTTTTCTATCCGATAAGCTGCAATTTACACAATATTTTGATAAGTGCTGATCCATCGAAACTATTAAGTGACTTAATATCAACTAAGTTTGAACATTTCTAGAACCCTCGAATCCTTTCAAATGACACTTATATCTAAATGTTTGTCAAAACTTCCTCAAACAAGGTCCGACTATAAAATAAAATATTTTTTTTTCTACAATTCTTCTTCTCCTTTTAATTCGGCGAATAGTAATATATACACAAAATAAAAGAAACGACAAGCTGACTCGGAACATGAATTTCATTATTTTTATTCTTATTATAGGAAAAAAAACGGGTCGCATTTCTTACGTTATCAGTAAATATTTGCTATTCTCAAACAACTCAAACAAAAAATATAACGACTTTGTGTTCATGACGTTACACTCTCATGTCGCTTTATGTCGAACAAAAAAATAAAGAGACATTATGATTTTTATTTATAATCCATTAGAGACAAATTTAGAACATTCTTTTTATGTGTGTGGACAATATGTTATTTCCATTCAGAATGCTATTTTTTTTTGTTTTTCTTCAAACAAATAATATTGTCAGTCAAATGAAAGAATGAACAACAGAAGGGAATCATTAAATGGAGCAATCACTATGAAAATGGCAGAAAACTTTTTATTACAAAATAGCTTCTTTCTCATTCATGTCTAACTCTTTAAAAATACACACAGAATATGTATGGTTCATCAAGCGCAACAATGACTTCATTAATGGACATTTCGTGTCATTTGTAACGATTCTTGGTATGAGAAGGCTTTGTTGGATTTGATTGGGGGTAATTAGGGGGTTATTTTGTCTTGTTGGCTGCAGATTTGAATCTTTTTGGACTTTTTAAATTGTGATTAATTTTGAATAAGGTATCAAACTTAAAACTGTGTCTACTTATGCTCTGGAAGCTCCAGGATTGCTAATCTCTTGATTTTAAAGATAAGCACAGCATCTGACGCTATGATCCTTTATTTATCTAAGGTCGTACTCTTATAAACCCATTATACGGTCAAAATAAACACAGCCGATGTGAATCTGGCATGAAGCTGGATTTTAAATTGAAGCCAGAAACATAACAGTTACAGCTTGATGCCAGATTTCTATTCAATTAACCGAGTTGTGTTTTTTATTTAAATGCGCTCTAGCCACCCAATTCATTCCCACATCTATTCACCATACTTTTACTCACATACTTAAAATCTATTATATTTTTGGGCAATGTCAAACGTATCCATTGAATGAATGAGTGATAACAAACGAATGTCCATCCATTAATTAAATTGAATAGGAAGAAAAAAAAATATAGAATACACAACGAATTAATTAATGATATCTGTAGTAGCTATTGTCCATCGCAATCCATTATACATGATGTATTTTTCAAAGTAATCATAATATGCCGGCTTATGTTCATGTTCATATCATGAGTTATTCATTTATAGTACACAATATATAAAGTGATTCATAGATTTCTTACACAAATATATATTTTTACACATTTGGAGCTGAAATGAGTTATGTGATGTGTGTGTTTTGTTGTGGATATATTGGAAAGTCAGGGGATTGTGGCTATGGGAAAATGTTTTCAAAATTTCTAACCTCAAAAAGATTGAAAATTAGTATTAGCTAGCAAAATCTAACCTCAAAGAAGCAAGAAGTCGAATTTTAACCTCAAAATTTCTTAGAAGTTGCATTTTAACCTCAAAATTCTTGAAAGTTAAATTTTAACCTCAAATTTCTTAAAAGTTGAATATTAACCTCAAAAAATTTTTAAAACTAGATATTTAACTTCAAAATTCTTGAAGGTTGAATTTTAACCTCAAAATTCTTGAAAGTTGAATTTTAACCTCGAAATTCTTAGAAGTTGTATTTTAACCTCAAAAACTCCTAAAAATTGAATTTTAACCTCAAATTCTCAGAATTTAAATTTTAACCTCAATATTGTCAGAAGTTGAATTCTCAATATTCTTAAAAATTAAATTTTAACCTCAAAACTTGCAGAAAAAAGTTCTAACCTCAAAATTGTAGAAAATTCTAATCTCAAAAAATTTAAAAATCTCGAAAAAAATCCACAACATGTACTTCCAAGCCTCCAACCCCTCATTCACACATCGATGAGACAAAAATAAAAGTAATTATCGGTAAAAGCTTCATTGTTTTGTGAATGTGACAAAACGATATTATCAAAATGAAATGAAGATTGAATATATGTTCGTAAAGATAATTATTCGTACCCGAAAATAAAAAGCAAATTCATTTTACGTGCCTTCTCTACTCTCGTTCTCGATAAAGGCTTGAAATGCAAAATGCTATGCGCGTACCGAGCACATATCATTGTTGTTCTCCATCACTATTTCAAATAAATAAAATTTTCATTGTGTGTGTACACACTGTTGCCAAACTATCAATAAATAATCCATTTTAACATTACACGTTAAGTGGAAAATATATTTTCTGTGTGTGTGATGGGAAATTACTCTCGAAGGAGAAATTTACGCATGACACGCATCGAAAAGGCTCAACAAACTTTGAAGGACATTTTCAAGTTTCACTCGACCAATCATTATGACCAGTATTATGGAAAAAATATTATTATTTTTTGCCCTACTCTTTTATTTTCTTTTCAACGCTGACCAAAAAAAAAACCCTTTTATTTCCTTTCCATTCAGTGTGAAAAAAAATGTTATGCGTATAAAAAGTTGGGAAATTTAATGACAAATGGATGGAGTTGAGCGAATTTTCATGGAATATGCAGACAGCTGATATAATAATGAGTGAAGGGCCCAGCCTTTCAGCTGGAGGCACTGCGATTCAAATTAGAACAGAATCTATTATACCACACCCTTTAGACCTATAGTTTATAGTGGGATTCGAACAACGAAAAAGAGCTTCGAAAATTAGACATGGCCTGGGATTGAACCCAGGACCTTTGGCACAGAAGGCCAACGCTCTACCATTTAGGCCACTGGTGCCATTTCACCACAGCTGACATAAGTTGATTTGAAAATTGAAAGTTGATGAGGCTTAATACTTTAGGTTGTTGAAGATTAAATCACTAGACTGTCGAAGACTGAAACCAGTCCGATACAGACTTGTCAATATAGTAGCATGGATGTAACACACAGAACAACTTATGATCAAGAGTAATTCCTGCTCAATACTAACATCCAAAACCCACCAGCCATCCAGACAAACAGCATCAAATAAGTCTGACTTTCAAATTCAAAATATTTGCTCCAATTTGTTCCCTCTCGATGGAAGTGATAATAAAATCACGTAATTGAAGTGTAAACATAAACCTATTTCGTTCAATTAAGTGGAAATAATTTTCCATCATTTTTTTTCTTCCTCTTCTCGTCCCAAACGCTTGTCAACTCATTAAAGCAGCGAGACGAAAATAGATGTTACGGCTAAATAGGAGAGAATGAGGCACCGAAAAAAAAAAAATTAATTTCCAAACATTTCGTTTCATTAAAAAAAAAAATTTGACAACAATGTTGATTTTTTATGAGGAAAGTTATTTATTTAAATTCTTTTTTTTTCATGTACTTTATTTCTGTTCTCTCTATCATCACATTCATTTAAATTTGTATATTTTTTTTTCGCTCTGCTTTTTCTCTTCATTTATTATTATTATATGAGAAAATGAAATGTTTTTACTCGATGAGAAAAAATATAAAATAAAATAAAATCTAATAGACGAGAAGTCGCCTCACATATCATAAAAATAAAAATTAAAATGCGTTAAAAATGAAACAATCTACAAATGAATATAAGCGCGATAGTAAAACATTCAAGCTTGACGTACTTTAGAGAAGAAATTTTGTTTAGTATTTTTTTACGTTCACTTTGTTGTTTTTGAGGAACAAATGTGAG